ATTTTACTACCACTACAACACTACACTCGGACTTAGCTCCTCTCTAGTAACGGATTCCTCCTGTTCCTCCATTACCATTTTAATATTTCGACACATGTCATACAAATAATTTAATGACTCAGATTTATTTGATTAATTAAAGAGTTTTCTTATAGTTTATATTTCTCTCACTTTCTTTCTATTCTTAGAATATTTCTTCTCTGTCATAATTTATTTAGTCAAACTCTTTTTTTTTTCAGCGAATCAACAATACATTTATGAATTTTATTTATATGGTTGATATTTGGGACTTTAAATTGATTTTATTTTTAGTCATTGATGAATTCTCAAGTGATTTCTCTCTCACAAAGTTTAATTGAAATTTTTCGAGTCAGATCTCACCACTGGATTTACCTTTTCATCTCAAAAAGCTTAATTTCAGTTTTCATATTTGATTTTTTTTAAAGAAGTTGTTACTCTTACGGAACAACTTGGGCAATAAATTCTAGCTATTTTTCAAACCGGCTTCTTTGAAACTCCTCTTTTGTAACTTATTTTCATTTATTTTGTTGAATTTATTTAATATTTTGTATATCAAATTTTCAATATCGGACTTAGTGAAAGAGAAGGAATATGTTGAAATGGTTATACAAGAAAATTAAATATGATGAAAAAGAAAATATTGAAAAATATTTTAACTCAATTTGCTGTTTGATTTAATTTTATATGCTCTTACTTTGTATGATGTAAAAAAGGAAAGGACATAAAATAATATGTGGAATAGTAAAGGGGAAAATTCCACCATACAAATAGACGTACGTTTTGGTTTCAATTAAAGACTGGAACGATTACTAGCCATTGACCAAATATAATTGGGTCGTCAAATTAAAAGTTAGTACATAGTATGAACATTATGATATTTAATAGATTATTTATTCCTAGTCTATGTATTATGTAAATATCCATGTAATTAAGCAAAATTTAATTTACGTGGTTATGTAGTTCTCTTCTTATTTTGGAAATATATTCTAAGTTCCAAATTATTTTTTAATTTTAGAAAGATTATAATGTTATTATTATTACAAAAATAATCATAAAAGGATGATTTTTAAAAACTATCAAAACTAATTATATTTTTGTATTACAAGTCAATTGAATGTTCGTTACAACAATAACAAATATTGTCTATGACACTAGAACAATGTAGTAATTTAGAATGAGTGCAACAAGCATCATTTCATACATCGTGAAGTAGACGAAACACATGACTTTGTTACCTCAAACTATTTTTTTAATCATTTTCATCAATAATCATATCATTATTTAGTATTCACTAGATATTTCATCACTATTTTGGTGTTCACGTAAAAAATTATGTAATATAACTCAAACAAGAGGGTAATTGTAAGATAAAAGTTTGGGTAAATTTTAATTTTCAAAAAATCCCAAATAATGAGATTTGATCTAAATATTAAAAAAATTAGTATTTGAAATTTGAGATATTTCCCAAATAATTACAAATTGTATGAATAAACATTATTTGCTAATTTTTTTACCAAATAGTATTTGAAAAATCTATGGTCAAACTATTCAAATATATTAAATAAGAATTCATGTACTTACTTCAATGAGAAAGAGTAAACTCCGAAAGTTTGCTTGATTAGTCACCAATAATCACTTGCAAGAACCTCAAAGTAATCAACAATCTCACAAAAAGTCCAATGATTCTCCAAAGTCTAACAATACAGTGTGTAATATGATGTCTAACAATACGGAGTATATCAATACGGAGTCTAACAATACGGAGTCTAACCTCAAAAACGAAGTTTTTTGAACTATTTATAAAAAATAAAAACCTAATTAAACAAGGACTCTATTTGCTGGAAATCTGTCAAAACGCGGCTGGGTCGACGGAACTCGCGACGGATCGTCATGGTCACGACGGACCGTCATGGACTCCGTCGTCCTATACTTATGCAATTTCTTCTGCTGCTCTCTTCATTACCCTCGACGGCAAGTATGATGGACCGTCATAGGCACAACGGTCCGTCGAGGGTCTTCGTTTCAAAACACTTGAACTCTGGGAGTATGGGTACTGGGATTACTTCTCTGAACTTCATGACAAACCTGCAGGACGGACCGTCATAGACACGACGGACCGTCACAAGCTTCATAACCCCACACTTGGTCAGACTTTCCCATCTTTCTTCAGCAGCTGCACTACGCTGCCACCTACGGACCGTCACAAGCACGACGGACCGTCACAAACTCCGTAGGTGGTCTCTTCTGTATTTCTTCACTCAAAATCTCACATTGTGCAAAAAGTAAAATAATTTTTTTAAAAAAAAATGTTTGTTACTTCATCAAGTTTTCTAAATATATGGGGTGAACTTTTTCAATGTAGTAAAATTTTCCACCTCGAAATTAGTTGAATATTCTGATTCCAGTGACCTATTGAACAGTAAAGAGAGACCCCGTTGATTTAGATTTGGACTACTAGTGGACTGACCTGGTCATACATTTTAATTGGTTAAAGTCATCCACTCCACTCTATCACTTGATGGATACAATTTTTGTGATATGAATATTTTAATATTTGTTTTCCATTTACCAATATGCTTCTGCCTTGTAAATAAAAATAAACAAAATATTTTATCACTATATTAAAAATAATTTTTAGCTATAATTAATTAATGATAATAAATTTTAAAAAAAAGATTGAATGTATTCAAACTTTGATCGAAATTATTGTTATAATATCAAACTTTGGAAATGACCTTTTATCCCTCTCCACTATTTAATAGTGTATTTTAAAGATATATATGAATATAAAAAATATTGCATCATTATAAATAGTAATGTGTCCACATAAGTACATATATATCTTTAATATATACTATTAAATAGTGCATGGGGCAAAAGGTCCTCCATAAAGTTTGATATCGTCGTAACAACAATTTTGGTCAAAGTTGAAGTATTTTCAGAACATATCCCCTAATAACTTAGTACTAAAAACATCTTTTAACACTTTTTGTAAATGTCTCTAAATTCTATATCGGCACTAAATTCTGTGACAATAAACTAATGTTGATAAAAACTTCATCACTCTCTGATAATGTGTATATTCTTTTTTGGTGAATGTTAATATATACTCCGTATATTTTATTGATGATAAAAATTGTTTATGTTGTAATGTGTATAAAGAGTTTAATTTTTTAATGTAATGAACACTTAAAGAATAAACGTAAATGTTTTTTTAAAAAAAATTAGAATTGAAAATATCTGATAAAAAATATTTTATTGTACTCATTGAGATGATTCATAATTCAAATATTATAAAATTGTTAAAGAATGACAAAAGTCTCACATAAGTAGTTAATGAAATAGGTGGACTCCTAATAAGACTTGGGCAATCCTCTTCCCTTTGAGCTAGCTTTTGGGGTGTAAGGCCTAAGACTTAATTTCACATGGTATCAGAGTAGGGCCGTCTCACCCGATGTTGGGACCCCCCTAAAATCAAAATTTTCCACGCACCAGATGCTAACCTAATTGCACAAAAATTTACTCAGAAATTTTATTACAAATTAAGTATATATTAAGACAAGTTATTTTGAATGATAAACCTCACTAAATATAGCGTCCAAACTTTTTGGTAGTCTTCAATTGAATGATGTTCTTCTCCTCTCCTCGCCATGAAAACAATTGAAAGATTGGTCAATAACGGGTGACAAAAAATTGAAGAACATTAAAAGAGAGAAAAAAAGAAAAAGAATATCTCATTCATTTTAATTTGTGATATTTTATTTTTTTTGAATTTTGAGAATAATTAAAGTAAAGTATTGTTTGATCACGACTCTTTCCATTTGTTTTATAAATATTTTGAATAATCAACTGCATGGTAACTTATAGTATTAAGAAAAAATTATGCTGATAAGCAAATTTATATAATTTAATTACTCATCATAGTTATATTTTGCTATAATTACCACTAGCAGCTAACATTATACATTAATTACGTGGGCTAATTTTGAGTTTGTATAATTAGTCATATTTGTATATGTATAATTCGCTAGGATATACAAATAAATATGTATAATATATAATTTTTTTAGCCTATATACATATAGAATTCACCTCTCTCCCACTCTCTGCACTATCTCACTCGCCTCTCTCCTCTCTCTCTCTCTCTCTCTCAATATTGCTCTCGCTCCTCTCTCTCCCAGTCTCGCTTGCCATTTATGCAAATGTATATGTATAATATACAATTATATACAATAATATACATATACAATTCATGTCTCTCCAACTCTCTGCCCTCTCTCGCTCGCCTCTCTCCTCTCTCTCCCAGTCTCACTCGCCTCTCTCCTTCCTCTCCCAATCTCTCTTGTCATATATACAATTACATATGTATAATATACAATTATCTAACCAATATACACATACAATTCACCTTTCTCCCACTCTTTCCCCCCTCTCTATGCCTCTCTCTCCCAGTCTCGCTTGCCTCTCTCCTCCATATGGCATGTAGCTACAAATTGTAATTATCAAACTATAGCTATGGAAAGTAATTAATTATTTTTAAGTGGCCTATATGTGAAAATTTCCCTAGTATTAAAAAGTTCATATATAAGAGGATGTTTGGATTGATTTAAAAGTTGGTTAAATCTACTTTTAATTTAATTTTTTATTTTTAAAAGGGTTTGACAAATATAAAAATAATTTAAAATAAGTTAGGAAGTGTTTGTCAAGATTTAAAATAACTTAAAATAAGTCAAAACTATTTAAAAGTCATTTTAATTTGATTTTTTATTTTTAATTTAAAAACTACTTTTTTTAAGTCAATCCGAACGAATCCTGAATTTCATGTTCAATTTCTTTAAAATATTAACTTTCAAAATTCAAATGATAGCACCTAAATTATAACCCAGGGAATAATGGCAAAGACTTGAAGTCGTCTCCTGTAGCATTGAACTTTCCAACTCAAGTAATATATAAATAGTGGGTATGATCAATGTTATTATAATAAATTAAAGGAGTGAAGAAGCACAACACATAACAAAAAACAAAATTGTATTTTGAGATTCATTTTATGGCTTTGATCAATAAACTTATTTTCTTTTTGGTGTATTTTGGTTATAACCAAATACTGCCTATTCTTGGAGAAAATCACTCAGCACCACCAAATTATAAGGTGGTTAATATCAGCTCGTTGCTACCAAAACCATACTGCCAAGAATCTACCTCAGGTAAAATATTCTCTATTTACACTCTTAATTTTTGCAACTCTTATATACAGAAGAGACGAATTTAAAATTTCTAAATTATAGAGTATCACTACCAAAATAAAGGGAAGATATATTTATTTGATTCGAAGTCCTTTTAAGCAAATAACTCAATTTTTAATCTAGTGCACTATTTTGTATTTTTTTAAGTTTTTTTAGAAAAAAAAATTGTCTTCTTTTCTAGTTTAACAACTTCTTAGTTCTAGCTTTCACGTAGTATATTTTATTTTTTAAAATATATTCTATATATTTTTAGTTTAAGACTAATATATTCTAAAGTCTTATTTATTTTTTTAAATTTTGTGTCTAAGTCAAAAATCTCACTGTACTATGCGAAATTAAACAAATATACTTATAGTTAATAGTTTGATTTAAAATACCATTGTTGTCGATAATTTGGTTTGAAAAATCCCTTATTTTTATTATTTAATAGGTCAAAAATGCTCTTATCTAAATAAATATTTTATTCCTTATCTTTTCAAACTCTTTCTTTGGTTGATAATAATTTACTAGCAAATGCTTATCCTGTTTCAATTCAGAAAATATTAAGAAATACAGATATTTTCTATTTTTAATATTTTGCGCTATCATAATGAAATTAATGATTGAGTTACCATAATTGTTATTATCAATTTAAAAGATACATATAGTTATTCTATTTTAATTAATAAAATGAGATTAAGAACCAAAAAGATTTGTCCCCTACTTATTAGTTAGTTAAAGCGACTTTAAAAGAAAAGAAATAGGGATATATTTCTTTTAAAACATTCTTTTTAGAAATACAATGTATATTTTTAAAAAGGAAATAATATTATTGTGACCCATTAAAAAACAACATGAGTATTTTTGAGCAAAACTAATCACGATAGAAGAATTTACAGTATATTGAACTGTGACTACAAAAGCATTTATAGATGAATCAATTAGGTGAGGTGTTACCCAATTTCACATGATTTCCAGACATTTTTTTTTATCCTTTTTGTAATTTTTATTATTTTAGATTATTTGTCATTGTTTTAGGTCGAATTATCGTTTATAGTCTTTTATTGAAATCCAAATTATGCATTTGAATTTGCTTACAGGCCCAGCAATCGGATCGCAGAAATTGAAAATCGTACCAAGACATGGACCCTGCTATCCAAATGCTAAAACTCCATCGTCCGATTCCGAGCAACTTATGAATTGGGATAAAGTTAGAGTTCGTTCAATCAATAAAAAACCTAAAACTACTCCACTTGTTCTTAGTAATTATGATTACGGAAGCTATACTGTAAAAATAGGTCTTGGCACACCTCGACAAGACTTCTTCTTAATGTTTGATACAGGTAGCCCAGCGACGTGGGTGCGCTGCAAATCGTGCACCAAAGGCTGCGAATCAAACAATCGTTTGTACGATTTTTCAATATCATCGACACATACAAATAAAACAAGCGGGTGCAACGGTCAATTCGGGGCTAGCTATAATGATAATTCGTTGGTACAGGGCATTTGGGGATGTGATACTTTTATCGGAGATGATCACGAGATTGGTCCGATACAGGATTTTCGATTTGGTTGTGGCGAAATTTTGAAAGGCGACTTTGATCAAATGGATGGAATGCTTGGGCTCGGCAAAGGAGATTCCTCTGTAACGTCTCAAATTCCTTCGATACAAATGTTCAGTTATTTTATCCCAATAACAAGTAGCCGTATGGGAAATATATATTTTGGGTACGAACAAGTGATGGATCGATCTAAGGATTGTTCGATGACTCAATTTACAGCGTTGGTAGATGGGGAATGTAAAGATTGTTACTATGTTGATCTGATTGGTATAAGCGTAGCTGGAAGTAAACTGGACGTATCTTCGAAAATGTTAACTTCTGGAGGTACAGTTATAGACAGTGGCACTGTGATTACGTATTTGCCAGAAGAGGTATATTATGCACTTCGTGATGCTTTTAGACAGTCCATGTTGGGATATACGTTGTTAGAAAAGGGTGATGTGTTAATGGACACTTGCTACAGTGTGAACAAACTTTTTACTATACCAGAGATTAAATTTCATTTTGGAAAAGAGAATAGTATTGATGTGAGTTTGTCAGAAGCAGGAACTCTGTGGACTCCAACAGATTCAACAATGTGTTTGGCTTTTGCTCCTGCAAAAGATAGCTCCATTATTGGTAGCGTTCAACAACGTGGAATGAATGTCATTTATGATTTGGAACGTAAAAGAATTGGATTTGGCACCAATTGTCCAATGTACTGATTAGAGCCAGAGCCAGAGCAAGTGTTCTTTTTATTTTATTTTATTGTTACTACTTGTTTTTATAAGCAACTTGTGATTACTATTTGTTGTTATATATATCGAGAGGGATTGAGTTTTTTTTGTTTGGTATCAAAGAAACTTTTTTTTCCCCTAAGCTAAATGAGTTCTTATTTATTTTTTAGAGTTTGGTACGAAAGTAAATTTGTTGGATTTTTTCCTTCAGGTATCTCATTACACCATTTTCTTATTGAATCATTGAACCTCCTATAATTTGTTTCTTTTAAACACTGTTGACTCAGTTTGATCGGCTTTTCTATTGTAAATGCCTTCAACTGTGTTAGTATTGTAATGATTTTGATTGAAGGAATGAAGACAAACAATTTATCAGTCTCATTTGTTTTCTAATATGTTTAAATGACTTGAAGTATAAAACAATTATTCTCGAAACAGTTTTACTATAATGAATTCTAAAACAACATATATATCACTCTATCAATACCCCTCACAAAGTTTGGTTCCACATCAATCAACAGTGTTCAAAAGGAATAAATTATGAATGGTATAGTAAATCATTAGGAAGATGACATAGTTAAAGTATCTAATGGGAAAAACCTAATAAGTCTAAGAACCTGCTTATGTATTTAGTCTATCCTAAAAACATTTATATGTATAAAGATGGAATGGGTCGGGTGGGATTCTTAAGCTATGGGGATTGGGGTAGTCAGGGTAGGGGCGGAGACGATAAGCTTGGAAGGCCATTTAGGTCGAATTTTTTTTAGTTATCAATCAAATATTAGTAATTCAGACTTTTGTTCGAATAAGTTAGACCAAAAATTTGAATAAAAATCAATCGATTCGATTGATTTATATAAAACTATTTTAAATAATAAATTGATTGCGATGGTTGATTTTCCTATTTCCCTAACTTTTGATTCTAAAATAATCAATCGAGTCTATTCTATAAATTTTACTAACAGAATTTTCAGTTTTTTTTTACAAATTTTAGACTGTAATTTAACTTTTGGTATCACTTTAATTTAAACCAAAACATACACTTCAATTTAATCATAATTTAATTCTCTAGGTACTTCAATTTCATTATAGCCTAAAACCATAGGAATAAAGTATTTAATTTGTTCACTACCTATTTGCGGTGGAACTTCGGTTTAAATGTAACTAATGCTAATTAACTAATTAAAATGTAAGCCTAATACATAAACAAAGGATCTAAATGTGAAGGTGAACCAAATGAAAATCCTCCCGCTCAGGGTATGGTGTGGTATAAAAATATTATTCAAAGCTTCTCTGTCCGATTGATTAAATATTTTAATTTTCTTTTCAAATAAATTTAAAAAAATTCATAAAGAAAAACAACTTTCTTCGTAAGAGTAAGAAAAACAAATCTCATAAATAACATTTCAGGTTAGTTGTGTCCCTTCCACCCCTAACACTATTACTCCTGTAATCAAAATATAAAAAGAAACCAAAAAAAAAAGTGTGTTTCCACAATTTTCAAGATTGTGATTATCAAAATTGTTGAACTTGGCGAACTCAACAAATGAAATTCTATTAAAATTGAGCAAGCGACAATAACGACACAAGGGCAAACTTTCTTCTCAAACTCTTTAATAGCTAAGAGCGTAAAGGGTTAAAGTTACCCTTGAACTATCATAAATAGCTCAAATATATTTTTTAAATATATTTCGATTCAAATATATCCTTATCGTCAAATTATAGAGTCAAAAATCCCCTTTTCATTAACATAATCGGTTAAACGTTACTTAGATGCAATGTGAATGTCACATGACATGCCACATGAGCCAATAGAGACCACTCATGCCAAGTAGATTAATAAAATTATCCCTAATTCCCCCAATTTTCTCCATTTTTCGTAGAATTTAGAAACAATTTTACTGAAGAACATAGAACCCCGTTTCCTTATTTCTTCATTTCCTTAGAACGATTTCACATAATACATAAATTCGAAAGCAAAGAGGTTCTATGTTCTTCAGTGAAATCGTTTCTAAATTTTAAGGGAAACGAAAAAAATTGGGAGAAATTAGGGGTAAGTTTATTTTCTACGTGGCATGAGTGAAACTCTATTGGCTTATGTGACATACCACATGGCACTCAAGTGGCGTTTAACAGATCCTGTTAATGAGAAGAGTATTTTTGACCCTAGAGTTTGAGGAAAATGATATATTTGAGTCGAAATATAGTTCAAAGGTATATTTAAGCTATTTCAAATAGTTTAAGAATATTTTGACCCTTTTCCGTATTTAAAAGCATAAAAAAATCTCTCGTTCACCACTCATAAAGTAGAAATAAACATTATTTTCCATCCATCTTATTTCCTTTTAATTTTTCGATTCACATTCTATTTTTTAAGACTTAATCCTTTAAAGAAACCCGAAACCCCTTAAATGACTTTATGTAAGTGTGCGAATTTTCGCCCTGCATAAAATTAGTAGATGTATATTTTGGTTCAAGTGACCTTAGCTTTCTGTAAGACAAAAGAGTGACCCCATTAATTTGGATTACTAGTGGACTGACTGACCTAGTTGTCTTCAATTTTAATTGGTTTAAATTAATTGTTACGTTCTCTACTAGCCTAACACTTGATGGAGAAATTATGATATTTATTTCCCTATAAATTTTTCAATGTTTTAGCTTAATTATAGCATAACATATATTTTTAGTAATAATTAATATTTTTTAATAAATATTTTAAAAATTTATAACAATATTTAATGCAATGACAATTAGCTAATATTGATAAAAGTTTAAACATTTTTATTAATACTATATCAAAAATGAGCTTTAGCGATAATTAATTAGCAATTATCGCTAAATATGTATTTTAAACGAAAATTAATTAACAATTAGATCTAATAACACTTAACTAATGCCAGTAAAGACTTTAACACTCTTCATTTGTCGATTTGTTGCCCCTAAAAGTTACTTTTGCTATAATGTATTATCCATATTTATTCCCACTAACTTTTTTTTTCTTTGTTATTAAAGCATAATGATAGAGAAGTTAGAGTTGATCAGGTTCAATCAATTAATGTCTCATGAAGGATATGACATATTCTTACCTTCTTGATGTTTTATTTTCGTTTCACTATTTGAGAGGTTCTTGATGAACAAGTGATAGAAGTTAACATAGTTAGAATCTTCATTGTACATCACATTTTTTTTTATTTGTAACTATTTAAAAATATTAGAAATCTTCCAAAAAAAAATCCCCATCTTGACAATGATTGGTCAATAACGGGTTACAATAGCTAAAAGTATATAAACAAAAAAGAAAATGAAAGAATGACCCAAAGACTTGGATAATCTAACCAATACCGTCTCAAATCGTTTGGTGGCCGAAAGTCAAATTTTATAAGGAGATTTAATTTTTCATTGATATATATAAATTGAATAATAATAATATAGCTAGTGTAATGCAATACCATCTAATCGTTTGGAGGCTGAAAGTCAAATTTTTTAGGGAGATTTTAATTTTCGTTGATATATATAAATTGAATAATAATATAGCTAGTGTAATTGTATAATTGAGGTTTGAAGATGATAGAATATATGTACTCCTTATAAAGTAAGAATCCAGATTTTCAATACAAAAATATAAATGAAACAACAAATTAAAATAAATATAGTCATGTAAGAAAGGATACTATAGTTACTTAAAAACTATTTTATTTTTCAATTACTTCAACAATCTCCATATCTAGTAAGGTGATTATACTTTTTATCCAAAAACTTCGTTTCAAATTTAAAGTTCATGAGATTTATATATATATGTTGTTTCCCCAAGTCATTATTACTTTAGCAGCCTTATAGCCTAGCCATCTCTAAATTTTAATAGTTCAGTTAGTTGACCACGTACTTTTTATCATTACTGTTGATTGGTTAGTTTCTCCATTTTGTAATTTCTCCTATTTCCCCTTCCCCTAATTTTAGAAAAGAAAAAAAGAAACTTTGAAGTCCTAAGGTATTGACCTGTTCAAGTATATGAAATTGTGGTTGATCCTATAATAAACAAATTAAAGGAGTCAAGAAGCACAACAACACACAACACAAAATAATTCTGTTTTGGATACTTACATTCAATACAAATATGGCTTGGATGTATAAACATATTCCTACAATATGCTTCTTTTTGGTCATGTGTTACCTAACAATAAAAACAGTGCCTATTCTTGGAGAAAAAACACCTCACTCACAGTCTCAGGTGGAACCAAAACCTATCTGCCAGAGCTCAGGTAATTAAGTTTTTTCCATTTATATGTGTGTCATGGTTCAGAGTAGTCTAATGTCATGATCCGTCACTTTGTCATACCACTCAGACATAAAACTAAAGCATAAATGTGCTAGCCTACAATTTCATTATATCTTTATTGTGGGTGTGTTTCGATATTATGGAGTTGAGAGTTTGCTCCGCAGCTCGAGTAAATAATTTTTCAAGAATTGATCGATCCATTAATTGAATTGATTAGTAGGTATTTTTTGAACAAGAATCATAGATTTCTATATAAATCCACAACATACCAAATAATTTGGGCAATTTTTTTTGATTTTTGTAAGACTAATATCTTTTTCCTTGTGTGATTTGAATTTCTCAATTCTCATCTTTGCTTGATTTGTTTTATACTACTATAGAATAGTGAGATGAATATTTTTTGGTCATGTTCAATTTCAGTACAAAAAAGATTGCTTGAACTTAACTCCATAAAATGATAATCTGAAATTAATATAAAATAAAATTCATAAAGATAACCGATGGAAACGAACCATTACACCCTTACCACCAGATATCACAAGTTTGGATGAATTAGTCTTTTATAGTAAAAATGGCTTAAGCAAACCACTACCTTTTTTTAATTTTAAAAAATTACGAAATTGAATCCTTAATAGTAATAAAACAGTTCAGATAATCAACCAATTGAGTTATACCGATCAATTTTTAGGAACACACTTCATAGGTATAGTTATTTTTGCTATTCAATTTTGTAATTATGATCATGCATGCAACCTTCTTTAATTTTGAATTTGTAGCTATATTTACCTAATTCATCTATTGAACTTGTTTTCATGGTGCTTATGAAATTACTATATAGGTCCAATAATTGGATCGCGAAGAGTTTCAAATCCTTGTTCTCCAAATGCTAATTGGACGAAAACTCCATCATCTGGCGAACTTGTAAACGAGAATGAAGCTAGAGTTCGTTCAATCAATAAGAAACAGAATCGCCATGATCGTTACACTCGTTCTGATACTGAGTATGATCCGGATGCTGATTTTGGATTGTTTACCGTTAAGATAAGTTTGGGCTTACCACAACAATATTATAGTTTGATTGTGGACACTGGTAGCCGTTGGACTTGGGTACGTTGTCGATTTTGCAGAGTAGGTTGCGATTCAGACGATCCTCTGTATGATCCTACAAAATCATTGTGCAAAGCTAGATTATTGAACCACTTCTATGTCAATTATGGGGATAAGTCATATATAAACGGCATTTGGGGATGTGATACTCTCAATATAGGTGATGATCTTAGTTCAATAATGAACTTCCGATTTGGTTGTGCCCTAAATATCTTCGATGACAGTGGAGATAATTTTGCTAATGCATCTGGATATCTTGGACTTGGTAAAGGATACTCCTCTTTGGTATCTCAAGGTGGTGCATCAATGCAAGTGTTTAGCTATTTTGTCCCAGGAAATGGTGGTGGTGCAGATCTACAATTTGGGGATAAAGCCAGAGAAAAATCGAATACTTGTACAAATCAATTCACACCAATGGTACGAGGGAGCGATCCAGAGAAATACTATATCGATTTAGTTGGTATAAGTGTAGATGGAAACGAACTGAACGTTCCATCGACTGAATTAATGTCTCGAGGGACAATTATAGACAGTGGAACGACCATTACTCGATTGCCAGAAGTGGTATACTCTGCATTTCGTGATGCAGTTAGAGAGTCCATGTCGAGTTATACATTATTAGATGGTATTGATGAGCTCATGGACACTTGCTATAGCTTAGAGGGGTTAATCGAACCAATCGCATTTCCAGAGATTAAGTTCCATTTCGGGGAAGTGGATACTATTGATGTGATTTTGACAAAGGAAGGAACTATATGGAGGAAAACTGATACAGTAAATTGTTTGGCTTTTGCTGCAGCAGAAGGCTGTAGCATTATTGGTATGGTTCAACAGCGTGGATTCAATGTGCTTTATGATTTAGAAGGCGAAACAATTGGATTTGGCACGAACTGTACGTGATTACTTTGTATAATCGTTTTTAATGCTTCTTCTTGTCGTAGTATTGCTTGTTCCCAGGGTTAAAATTTATTCCTGCCGAATGTTTGCGTCAAGTTAATCAATACTTGTTTGTAATGTGTTTTTTCGTATGCCTCTCTCATTGAATTGCTTAATTATGATAAGTTGATTGGACGGGAATATTCTGTACACATAAATTTTTACCCTCTTAGAAGCATTGGTAGATTCAGGAATCATAGCAAGTGGTTTAATATTTTCAAAGGATTGTAGTGAAAAAATAACGGTAGGTTTTTGTTATTATCGGTTAGGTTCAGTATGCTTATTTTTTTTCTTTAAATTTGAAAGTAATAAATTTGTTGAGAAAATAGATATCTTGAGAGAAACAGATACGCATATAGCTATTGTAGATTCAATTAAGCAATACTAGAGTTATTGTTACATAAATCAAGAGAAGCGTTACTATCTGATCTACGGGAGGGTAGGTGTAGATGAAGTAATGAATTATTGATGGATTCGGTTTTAGGATTTTAATAGTTGGGTTACTAAAATTAAAGTAGTGGGATTGAGTAAGTAGTAAAGTTAAAAACTTAAGTTATTTAAAATTTAATAAAATATTAATATTTTATTAATGAGTATTATATAAATAATTTCATCTGGTTGAAATACCACACTTTGAACCAATCAATTTTAAGACTAAGTTCAAAATCGTAGAAGAAAGACATGAATAAATAGCCTTATGAATGAACGGATTGGATCGACTTGAAAAATAAAAAAATTCAAAAAAGTTATACGTTTTGTCACCTCTTTATGAAAAATCGTTGAATTCTTAGAGACTGCATATCCATTAATATGGATAGTAACTATTTTTTCCGAATCATGCATAATCTAAAAGGAATTAGAAAAATGAACGGATAGTGTATATTTATATCAGAATCAAACACCTAAAAATTGAATTTATCGAAAGATTATCGCAAACCCGTCTTTATTTGAATCAAGATGGCATTTAAGATTAAAACTTATCCTTATACCAAAATCTACATAAACATCTACCCAAGTAACATAATTTACCTTGCCAATACGGATTTTGATTAATAATATTGCTAGCGCAATTCAAATTTACTGATTCAAAAGCTAAGAAATAAAAAAGAAAATCTTACATAATTACTCTATTTTAAATATTTAAAACATCAAATAGACTAGAAGAACCGTAAAGTTTAAGTGTTGACTTAATAAAATTAAATTAAAAAATCTTACGTGAGGGCCAAGTACCCATTTTATTAAAAAAAAATAATAAAAAATCGTTTCTTAACAACTATTTAAGATCAATAATTGATCATTTCTCTACCTCAACACCCTTTTGTCTTTGGAGATGGAATCAAACTCCCAATTCCTCACTAATCAACAAATTGAAAAAAGAATTGAAGCAGCAGCAAAATTCATTCACCAGCAAAACGAAGTTCGAGCTCCAATTATTGAAAAAATAGCAGAAAAGAAGGTAAATGGAACTGCTCCCGTAACTGCACATGAAAATTAAAAATTAAGTTCTTCTATTTCCGGCAAAACTATTATTTTTCTGATTTTTAAAAAATATTTTCCAAATTTTCTAAAATATATCAAACCAAGTATAAGAAAGTTGAAAATTCGTATATGTTTACGCCAAATTAATGTAATTTTCATTATGTGATTTAAGGAAAGAAAACACATGTTAATTTATTAATATTAAATAAAATAAACTATAAATTTGAACACGTAACATGCATGTATTGATTTGATGTAAACACGTGATGACATAGATAAATTTTACGTATTTCAAACCTATAAATTAAGCACCTTGACTATTAATATTTAATGGTGGAATCAAATATTTATGATATATGATCTAGAAGATAAATATTACGCCAGCACTAACTTTACTTTTATATTCCTAGACATAATTATATCTCTATTTTTTTTTTCTCTCTTTTAAAACATTTTTGTTTAAATATATGTGACATGCTGAAGAAATTCATGTAATTGTTATAAATATTCTCTCTCTTAATAAATATACAGTCAGATAAATATTTTGTACTTAAAAGATTGAAGCAGCTATTGCCAGATGAATATATAATATGGCCACAGAGGAAAAAGTATGGCTATAAAACACAATATATTTGGGATACAAAAATCACTTCTGATGAACAAGTAGAAAAGGAGCTTGATGAACCTTTATCTGTAAGTTGTTTATTTATTCTTCTTTTTTTTGTTGGATTCAAATTAAATTAAGACTAATTGTATTAGGATTTTATCAAATTCAATTTTAGTAATTATTAATTATTCCTTTTTTAATTACAGATTAAGACTTTGTATTACAAAACACAACATGGGAGTAAAAATTTGGCTGATGAAAAGAGGATTTTTAGGGAAATGAGAAGAGCAGAGGAAATTGTATGTCCTAAAGACACAAAAATGAATCAAAATCAGGTAATTAATTAACAACAGTTTGTCGGATTTGCTATTAATTTCATAATTTGGTTTTATTAACACTCAAAATAATTAGACTCTTTGTTCATTTGGATATCGTACTTCCATAAATGAGTGACTTTTTAAATTTATTACAATTGAAATTTGAATAGAGACAACTTATAATATGTACTATTTTTTCCGTTTTAATATATGTGATTGTATTTAATTGAGTATGAAGTTTTACTTTGTGAGATAAATGTATTTAATTGAGTATAAAATTTAAGAATAAATAAAACTTTTGAAATGTAGTGTGATCTAAAACAAACTATGGATCATATATATTTGTGTGATAATAATTATCTTAATGTAAAATGATTTTTTTTAAAAAAAATTAATTGTTACTCCCTCATTTTCAAATTTATTATGTTCTTCGAGTCAAATTATATAAATTTTTACTGACATTTTAAGATGGATTTATTCACAACATATTTTATGAGGGAAATTATAACTTAATTATAGATTTTTATGACACGAACTATATATTTAGGGTAATTCCACGAATGGATTGAAAAGGATAATATGAACACACCTTGTGTAGGTAAAGAAATTCTTTTTGCAACTTATCTGATTTTTATTTTGATATGTTTAATTTATATAATATGATTTAAATAGCTTCATAAATCAATCAAATTGACTCTCAAAAAGTAAAATATGATAATTATTCTGAGATATAAAAAAATGTTTTATTCTTTTTATATTGATTAGAAAAAATAGAATTACATAAATTAGAACAAACGGTGGAGAAGTAATTTATTGAAGTACTCCAATTTAAATGCATTTTATATGAATTGTTTTATGATTCATTTTTGGAAATAAATTAACAGCTAAAACTCTGATTTACAGGTGACATTTGCTGAAATACAGAATATGAGAAGTGAAAAGAGAATTTTCAATCTGAATGTGAAGAGTCTCAAGAGAAAATTGGAATCTATTAAAAATGACATTAAATCTTTGCAAAATAGTTTAGATGCCATAAATCGAAAGAAAGGGAAAATATATGCTGCCATTCTTCAGCTTAAAAGCCAAAACTACACTTCTTAATTAACAAAATATTTTTATGCTATGTAGTTCATTTTTATCTGTGTGTCATTTTCTTCTGATGAATATTTGGTTATTGTAATGTTCGATATTGTTATTTAAAATATTTTGTGCCCTTCAATTGTACCTTATAATAAAATTAAAATTTTTATTCACGCGAAATTAAGAAGGTATACTTTTATATTTACTAAATTATATTTCTTCAACAACCTAGAATTTTACTATAATCATACGAATAATGTAAAATAAAATAAAATAGCGTAACCATTAGTTGATTTAGTCTTAAGTTTTATTTTTTGTTTTTAAACATATTAGAAAAAAGAACTCGAGTAAAAAAGTAAAATAAAAATGAATTCAATTAATTTTTTCATATATTCAAAAAGTAAATGAAAGTTAGAAAGTAAGAAAGCATTTTCTACGGCTCTTCGATATTTTGATCGAAAAAAGAGATTGTGACGTGTATATATCTTTTTTAAATGAAAAAATATTTGAAATTAGTTAATCTCATTCTTATATGAGGTAAATATAACATAGTAATTTGGAGATAATTTGATATTTTGGATATCCGAAAAAGGGTCGGGTCCGGTTCGTGTTCGGATCCGGTTTCGACAAAATTATGATCCGAGGGAAGTTGGCGAAGCTTCGTCCTGTTGTTTATATAAAATAAAACTTCCCGTCTGATTCAAAAGTAACAATGGTCATCACCGGAAGACCCGCCGATAATGGAAAATCAACGGAACAAAGGGTATGTTTCTTTTTTTTTTGGGGGGGAACAACCTGATAATGATTTGTATATTTATAACCCTCGTATTCGGGCCAGTTTTTCCGCACCAAAAAACCTAATGTTTCTTTTTCTATATTCCTTCTTGCATTACAAGTACCTCTAATTAATGGTATAGGTTCCTTTTGTGTATATTTTTCTTGTTTGTAATACTATTGTTAAAATCAAGGTTATGGTAAAGGGTTGTTCTGTTACAGTAACCTTTTCCGGTGAAGCATTAGGAGCACACTTGATGTAGATTTGAGCTATTTAGGTATTCGAATCACTTGAGGAAGATTTGAGCAATTTAGGTATTCGAATTACAGATACAACAAAGGAAAAACTAAGAAGAGAATAGAGAGCTATAGATTCTCATTCATATGGTAAAAATGGAGTCTTCCAGCATTACATATACTCAGCCAATGCATCTATAAAACGCGACTCTCCGTGGGATTAGATGTGCTAATTGTGTACTTACTATAACTTCTACTTTAAACACAAGGGACTAAAGAGTAAATCCGGAGTGGTGGTAACTAACTCATAATAACCCTCACTGTACCATCACACGAGCTGAATGTACTAATCCCATCTGCAGTTCATAATCAGGTGCTTGCTGGGCACATCAATAGGACCCCCTCAAGGATGAAATACAGGAAATTTAACCTTCATGGTGTTAACATCCTGAATGGGCGAATGAGCCTCAACTTTATTTCTCTTTGAATCATCTTATAATCCAATACATTAACAGGTTGAGGACAATAGGGACTGGCCATGTTCACCACTGGTGGATGAGTGATTCTTAGGAATAGCATGGCAAGGCTTGAGTAAAGAGACATGAATTGTGGGATGAATAAGCAACAATTTGTAAGCAACATCTCCCACCTTCTGAATGATCATGTAAGAGCCATAATACTTTATTGAGAGCTTGCTAAAGTGTTGAGTGGAATAGTGACCTGCCTGTGAGGTTGTATTTTATAAGGAAAACCCAGTCACCTTCCTTGAATTATCTGTCAGACCTCTCTTTTTATTAACTTGAGGCTCCATTCTCTGCTGAGCTCTGGTGAGATGTAACTTCAGTGGCTGAAGCTTGAACTCCCTAGTGATCAAACTTCTGTCCTCCTCAGGTAACTCTGAATCTCCAGCCATATAAGGCAAATGTAATCGTGGTGGTTGACCATAGAGTGCCTTAAACTTTCCAAACATCTATTCACAACCTCAGTCTGATGGACAGACTGAGGATGGTAGGCAATGGAAGTTTTCTAATCCACTCCTTGAATAGAAAACAACTCTTGCCACAACTTGCTAGTGAATATGAGATCCCTGTCACTGACTATATCTTCAGGCATCCCATGCAACTTGAAGATATTCTCCTAAATAGGACAACTAACTCAACAACTGAATAAGGATGGGAAATTGCCAAAAACTGAGCTTATTTAGTTAGTCTATCAACTATGACCCACATCACAGATTTTTCTTTGAACTTGGGCAAATCTTCAATAAAATCCATACTAATACTTCCCCAAGCCAGAGCAGGTATATTCAAAAGCTGCAAAGAGACCAGGACAGGCTACTGAATCAGCCTTGCTTTTCTGACACAGAACACCCTTTTGACATAAACCTCAGCTTCCTCCCGACAGAACAATGAAACCGCTCTTCTATAAATATGATTCATCCTAGAACTTACCTCCCATCAGTGAATCATGCCACAACTGATTATATGAACTGCTCGTTATTTCTAATATAATGAACATCAAGCCGTTAGTATTATATATCATTCATTAAGAACTTGGGAAACAGAGGTTCATTGTCCGGTACTTCACTACCTTGAAATCAAACAATATATTATCCGATATAGGGGTTAATTTCCTATCTTTTTCACTTTCAGAGAGCTAATCAAGTAGTAATTTCTATATTCAGTACGAGTATATTGGATGCTTCTGTTCTTTCATTGGAAAGCGCACACTATTCCATTTTACAGTCTTTTCTGTAAATAGTGAAAATTGTGATGTCCGTATGAAATCAAGGCCTTTCCTCATATTATCCATCAGAAACTTGTATATTTTTCAGGAAAGTTTGCTTTATATTCTGTGAACCATAATTCTGGATATTGCAATTCATTTGCACAAATTCTGCTTTGGGATACGGTGAACCCATCTATGCATGTCGGTACACCTGTCAGTAATAGTCGACAGGAATTACAGGGATTCTGCAGTAGCCCAACATCTGTTCAGATGTACCATATGCTTAATCAGTTTGATTTCTGTTGGAGTATGCCTCTTGGAATGAACTGTCCTCCATAGTCATTACAACGTACACTATCAGGTAGCTCATAGGCAGAAACCAGGAAATAATGTTGATACTTTGGATTGGTACTTTGGTAATCAATGACAGCCACATAGACGACGGTCAGTTGAACATCCTTTGTCAAAGAGTCTGTAAAAATTTATGTATATAGAGGTTAAAAATTACTTCCATACAATATTTATTAAAATCTTGAACACCTTTTGTGTAATTCCGGGCTTCGTCATTATTGCTAGTTGCTAGTTGGGAGCTGAGACTTGCATATCTGATTAGAATGGCGTTATAAGGTCCTAATAAAGAAAGGAAACATATGTTCTGTTTATTAGAAATAGGTTCTTGATTAAAAATCTTTTTCTTTCTGATAGTTATAGTGAAATGTAATCAAGTTAGAACGCGTTCCCACTTCCCTCAGCTCTTTTATTGGAACAATGTCTTTTTTCCTTTTTAGGTAGTAGGAGAGTCGGAAGTCAAAAGTAATTTGGTTGCAGAAGGACGGCTTGTGAAGAACTTAAATGGTAGTCTCATATCTTATCCTTGTTGAATTGTTTCCTATTTGACATCATTTGCACATTGATCTGTAAGAATTAACTTCCATTCAAACTATTTCTTTGTGAGTCAGCTTGTAGGGCCAAATTTCAGGATATTGATCAGAGAAAACGTGTAGCTGCTGCAGGAAATCTTTCTGGTATTGATGATTCTGAGGTATTGACAATGTCCTATGCAATTGAACTCAATGTCTGTGTTTGTTATGTGATTATAGACCTCGTGTAATCACAATTTTTAACTTTTGATGTGGCGAAGGTTGTTGGATATCTCAATAACACGAAGGAGATTCATTACAAGACGATCATATGGGAAAAAATGAATAAAGAGTTTGCTAAGGTATTGCCTTCTTCCATCTACTCTTCTACATAATAGTTTTAACTATATAGAATTTTATCTGAAGTAATTGACACTTCTCTTAAAAAGCAATTCTCTTAAAGAGCAAATCCTTTCTGCTTGTTCTTGTTCGTTGTATAAGATTGACAATAGAGTATCTTCTGTATTTCTTGTGGCGTCCTGACATATCAGTTCATCCCTATGCATTTTATTCGTTAGCTTGTTTCCTCGTGGTTGTCTTACGCCCAGTTGTTTGATTAGACCTGTTCATATGTTAGATTCCTCTGTTAATGTCGAAGAATTTATATCCATAGTGAAGTCTGGAAGTTTAAGAAATGGAATGCCTCTAAAGCCACTTTTAGCTAGCTGTAGATAATAATATATGTTAATTGCTGCTGATTTCTCTCTCCCTCTCCCTATCCGAGCGGAAGATAGTTGAAAAGTGCTTTAGTAGCCTAAACTTACGTTGCTGACAGTTTATTCATATGCAGTGATGCCCTGTTTTGATCCATTACTTCATTCTCTCCTCTCCATTTTTCATTAGATAAATAGAAGTACCTTAGTCTCTGTCTTCTTAATTGTACGACGACTCTATTGATCTACTAATGACCCATCTATTTGAAATTGTAACTGTTCAACTTGCTTCTTTCTCAGGGTAATGATAAACTACATGCGAAGAAAAGAAAACGGGAAATTGGACATAAAGATGTCCATGCTAAAAAATCTGCTAAAACAACAGAAAAAGTAGAGAACAAGGTGGGCATATACCAGCTAAATATCGTTTTTGCTCATTCTTTATATTTTAGATGGTAGAATGTGCTGGTTATAATAAAATATAATTCAAATGTTTGCAGAGAACAAGTTCAAAAATAAATTACAATGCTTTGCAGAAGCTGACTGATGAATTGGTACACCTTTCTACTGCTCTCTCCTTGTGATTTTGCTATGGATGTCCAGCGATGTGTGCTTAATGCACCTATTTTTTGTCATAGGATCTGTAGAACAGTTCCATAAAGGAAAAAAATAAAAGGAGCTAATTTGATTTCAGCCATTTGATATTGCTCTTTGAATTTGTGTTGCAGAAGCAAGTTCCTGTAGAGGCAGAGCTAGGAGGACTGGAACCTAAGGCCTGTGCCAATGGTGATTCAGCTGAAAACCTGAAGATTGGATTCCATGAGTTTGAACAGGAGAACAAATATGGTGAATATGATGACTCGTTTAG